TACAGGTGGACTTTATTGCTGCCATGGAGCAATTTTTGGCTTGTAGTTGATCTCCTCTGACTTCTTCAATCCCATGCTCTGTTGGGAACCAGAGTAGTTGATGCAACGTCGAGGAACTGCCCCCATTGCATGCAACCACGGTCTTCCCAAGATGATATTGTATGGTGAAGGCGTGTCAATTACCAGGAATTCTGTCCTGATCTTTTTTAGTGCCGCTTGTACTTCTAAGCTTGTTGCACCCAGTGGCCATGTCGGTGTTCCATTAAAGCCGACCATCGGGCCGTTTGATTGATCTTGAGTCATCGGGGTGCAGGCCTAGTTCTTTGTAACATCTGACATACATGATGTCACAGGAGCTGCCTTGATCTATTAGGATGCGTTTTACTTGGCACTCCCCAACCTGGAGGGATACTACCAAGGCATCATTATGCGGATGTTGGACTAGTTCTAAGTCGGCTTCAGTAAAGGCTATCATTGGCCCTTGGCATTCTTCTGGCCGATGTCTCTTTCCCCGACTTGGTAGATATGCTGTAAATGTCTTACCCTCTGGGATTCTCCTCTGACTTCGTTTTCGTTGACCCTTGAGTGGATCACATTAACTACCCTCGGTTCTCCTGCTTGTGGTAGCTGTGCCGGGGGAGGGGGTGCTGCTGGTGCTTGAGGCAACCTTGCCTGCTCTTCCCTTGTTCTGGCCTCATCGACCAGGTCCCTCAGCAGGCCTTGTCTTACTAGGTCCTCCAAGTGTGCTTTTAAGGCTCTGCAACCTTGAGTTGGATGCCCTTCTTCATTGTGGTAGGCACAACGTCTACCAACGTTCCTTCCCATGAATTCCCCCGGTGCTCTTGCCGGAGCCCTGAAATAAGGTTGATTTCGAATCCGATCTAAGATTTTATGGATTGGATCCGGAATACCGTCGTTACCGCCTGTTTATTTCTCAATTCTATTTCTTGTTTGGTCGGCCCATTGTTGACTCGGCCTCGCTTTGGCGAGCCGTTTCCCTTTTCTTGTTTTCCTTTTTGTTTCCCGATGTATCTTCCTCGGCCCTGGCGTATTTCTCAATTCTTGCCATGAGTTCTTCCATGCTTTTTGGCAATGTTTTTGCCAAAGACTTCCGCAGTGGGCAGTCATCTTTCAGGCCGTTCTTGAAAGACACGACTGCTACTTCCTGGTTGCATTCGGTATTCGGTTGAACACCTCGTAGTATCTCTTCGCATAGGCCCTAAGGCCTTCTTCCTTGGTGATTCTTAGAGCCATCAAAGCATCAACCCTCAGGGGCTGCAGCTTGTTGGTCACGAACCTGGCCACAAACATCTCGGCCAAGCCTTCCCATGTCTTTATGCTTCCTTTTGGTAACTTGTGGAACCAATCAGATGCAATTTCCCCAAAGGATGAGGGGAATACTTTGCAGAGCAACGGCTCGTTCCCGCTATATAACACCATTGAATTTAGGTATAGCCCAACATGAAAGTTTGGATCTGACTTACCATCATAGATTTGAAACCTCGGCATACTGAATCTCTTGGGCGGTTCGAATCTGTCCAGTTCCACCGAGAAGGCTGTCTTCGGTTTTACTGGGGAGTTTACCTCGGCTTCTGCATTCTGCTGCCTCCTCTTGAGGTAGTCCCTTAAGTCTTCTTTGCTCCTCCCTGGAGCTCGGCTGTCTTTAGATTTTAGTCTTTTGGTACAGTGCTTTCGGCCTCGTGGTGGGTCCGTTTGGACCTTTCTCATGGGTTGTGTCAAAGTGGAAGTACTTGCCCCTGAACATGTTGATGTTCTTTGGGGTCTGGATTCTTCATGTGGTGCGTCCTTCGGGACTCTTCTTGCCTCGGCTTTTCCCGTCCGGCTTCCCTGGAAGGCCGGTGAGAATGTCTTCCGCTCCTGGTATGCTGAGGGACCTCGGGGATTGTTTTTCTTCCACCCTTCTGGGGTTCGTTGCTGGCATCGGCGTATCTTGCAGCGGGTATGGTGGCTGCATAACATTATTCTGCATCATGAAGTTGACGACGGACTGAAGGTCTGACAACTTGTTTGCCAGTTCTTTTACTTCCTCATCCCTCCGTAGGCACCTGTCCCTCCATACCTGGAGGTTATCTTCATTGTAGTACTTTCCTTGGTTTGCTCTTTTTGACGTGTCACCTTCTGGGATGACGTCGTTCTCTCTGTGACCCTGGTCACGGGCCTCTGCATTGTGGTTGTCTCCTTCTCCGTCAAGGTCAATTAGTCTGCCACTCCCAGTGGGAGCGTCATCCCCAGTATTTTCCTGCTGTCCGCCTCCCCTCCCTTACCGTTGGCCATCTATTCTTCTTTCTTTCCCACAGACGGCGCCAAATTGTGTGGGTGAAAATCTGACCACACTGCCCGTTTAGTGATCAGCTGGAGAGCACAGGCAGAATAGATGGCTTTAGCAACCTGTAACAGAAAGAAAAAGCTCCGGCGGTGGTTCTTCCACCCGGGGGCACTCCGACGATCAAGTCAGTATATCTCTCAAAGATAATCAAGTACTGAACTGAATACTCAAAATATAAATTGCATACCTTAGACCCACGGGGGTGCCTCTCTTTTATAATGTACTCAATCCAAGTCCCACTAGAAGTATGACTTCTATGAATTCCAATTTACTGTTTACTCTGGACTCTATAAGAGATAAAGATAAGACTCCCAAAGAGCTTTATCCTTATCTTGGTTAAGTCCCCTCTTTGCCTTAGGACTCTTGTCCCTTATCTCGGATTCCGATATCTTCGGAGATGACCTCGGCTTCTCTGAGATTACCTCGGCTTAACTACCAGGGCACGTGGCACCTCGACCGACACGTCGGCGTCACCATGCCACGTGTTGGTATTCAGAAAATATATCCCCACAAAAATAATTTAAATTTTAATATAAGATATGCAAAATATTTAGATGTTCAACCCTTGTTTTTGGGATAAATTACACTAACAGTCCTTGTAATTTGTGACTTGTGTCACTTTAATTCTTAACTTTTCAATTATAATATATTTGATCTTGAATTTTGAATCTTGTTCCAAATAAAAACAATCAAAGATGTTTCATTTGCAAACGGTTCATTTGAAGGGTAAAGTCGTCATACAACTTATTTTATGATGCTTAACTTTATATTATTTGATATGTAATTTTTTTTTAATAAATAATGCCGGAACTTTCTTGGTTATAAAATTTTATTTGGTTTGGTTTTTAAGAACCATTTTCATAAAATTTTTCTAAGAAACTTAAAATTAAATTTGTGAAAAAATTTTTAAAAAAATATATCATTTTTATATAATTTTATCTTTTGGGAGGGTAGAAAAATATTTTAAAATAAATTTTTTGGATATTTATTTTTGTTAAATTAGGTTTTATTTTTTCAAAACTCAAGCATGGCAACAACTTTGATATAAATATTAAACCAATCCATTAAATTAAAAAAATTCAAAACTAAAAAATTTCATATATTAAACATATAGATTGCAAACTAAAAACATAATAAACCATTCATTACATAATAACCATCCAAAAATATCTGTTAACAACAAATATATTCATCTATTACATAATAACTATCTAAAAATATTAACAAAAAAACCACCAATTACATGATTATCATCCAAACACATACTAAAAATTAATTTGACAAAAAAATAAAAATGTAAAAGATTAATTATTTTTATATAATTTTATCTTTTGGTGAGTAGAAATAATTTTTAAAAATTCAAAAATAATTTTTGGACATTTATTTTTATCAAACTAGTTTTATATTTTATGAAATTGATGATTTTGCTCTTGAAATGAAACAATAATATCTTCAATTATCTTTATTTAAAATAAAATTCAAAATTTAAAATTAAATATATCACAATTAAAAGGTCAAATGGGTTCATTTTCGTCATTTAACCATGGTTAATCAAGGGAAATTCTATTTCCATACACCTAATTATCTCAATACACAAACTTAATAAAATATTATTTTAATGACAATTATATCCTAAACTAAAATAACTATAATGGACATCTACTAACACGCATAATATTATATGAAAATATTCTTTGTACACATTTTTTAAAAATAAAAAAATCGCAATGTACACATTTTGAGTTAAAAAAAAACTGAATCCTAGTTTTTCCATTGTTGTCATTTTGCTTACTACACATTCTATACTCCTCTATTCCTTGCAAAGTAATACTCTCATAACAACTCTCATATTGCTTTAATCTCTAGATTTATACTCTATTAGTATTGAAATGTTAGTTTTTTCGTGCATAGCTTCCTTTTTTTTTTTTTTTTTTTTTTTTTTAAATGTAATTTCCTTTATTTTTCTACTAGAAATTGTTGCTTTTCATTATATTCAGATATCTATTTCATTATATTTGGACATCAGCTGCCAAAAGTTTTTATTTTTATTTTTTTCGAAACAAATTTGTCGAACTAATTACTTTTATTCGGAAGTTAAGTTTCGAATTAAATGCATAATTTCAAAAAATTGAAATCCCTAAATTGAAAAACATAAAAAAAGAAGAAGAGAGTTTTATGACGATGGAGTGCACAGAAATCTGGAAATGGTAAATGCAATAACAAATGAAAAGATGTCATATCTTCAACAATATTCTGAAGAGTTTTTAATGATATTTTTAATAGAGGTTCAATAGGATTTTTAATAAAGGTCTTCAATAGAGTACTTTGTTTTCACTTCATTTCATTTCACACTGTTAGTCTTACATGATCTTCACGTAAATCAATAAAGGTCTTCAATAGAGTACTTTGTTCTCACTTCATTTCATTTCACACTATGATCTTACATGATCTTTACGTAAATCTATAAATTTAGAAGTAAGATCACACTCAACAAGTGTGTAAAAAAGAAAATTGAATGCCATTTGTATAATAATTAGGAGTAAGAGCATAATTATAACTTTTAATGTGTGAATTGTTCATAATAATAGAATGTATACTCAGAAAAATGTAGACTGAGTTGTTAGAGTATGTGAAAATAGGATTTACCGTTAATCAAACAAAATTTTCCCTTCCCTTCCCTTCCCTTGCCCCCTTTGCCTCACTGCGTCACTAGTATGAGTCGCTATTTCTCCAAATCACCCCACATCAAACCATAAATTCCTTTCGTTTTACATAGATTTAATTCCAAACAGTGATTCTCATTGCCTACCCATATCCATATATACATATCTATCTCATTGTTGATTCGATCATATCGATTTACTCAGTGATCTGGGGAAGATGACGAAGCCACCTCAGATCGCCATTCTTGGCGCTGGCATTTTCGTCAGAACTCAATACATCCCAAGATTAACTGAGATCTCCGACCTTGTTGTTCTCAAAGCAATTTGGAGCCGTACTGAGGTACCCATGTTTCTCTCTTTCTTTTTTCTTTTTGCAATTTTCTTGGTAACCAAACAGGTAAATAGAACGGGGTTATGGATTATGAATGTGTGCTTTGTATTCAGGAATCGGCTAGAGGTGCTGTTGAAATTGCCCGCAAGTTTTTCCCAGAAGTGGAATGTAAGTGGGGTGACACGGGTCTTGATGAGATTATTCAGAATACTTCCATCGTTGCTGTTGCAGTGGTTCTTGCTGGACAAACTCAGGCATCTATATATTTCTCTCTCTCGGTTGATTTTTTTAAATAGTTGTTATTCTTATAGGAATGTTGTCACACACATATATACTTCTCATATACTATTCTATGTGTTCTATTTGGTAATATATATATACACATGTCCACATTTAGATATTAATGTGCATGTACCTGGAATAGATAAATGTTTGTATATGCTTGTTTTGTATGCGAAAAGGAAAAGGGAAGGGAAAAAGTTAACGAATTATAACTTGTCTTTTTCTTTCCATTCATAAATTCATAATGTTTTTTTTTATTTTTTTTCAATAATAAGTAGAAGAGTAATTACAAAATGAGAAACATTATATCAAACAAACTGGACAATTAATGTTAGGAAACCAATTATATTAGGAAGTTCTTTTCAATTACTATTTAGAAAGTCTAATTATGTTAGGAAGTTTATGTTATTTTTCTTATATAAAGAAGCTTATTGTAAAAGGATCAAATTCAGGGTCTAGGGCCCTATCAATTAAGTCCAACAATCACCACAACACAATGACTTCCGATCCCATTAATGGGGGACAAATAAACATCAGACTCTTGTATCCATAAGAGTTTGAACCCGCAACCTCTACACAACCACTAGGCCATGGCCCTAATTCCATAAATACATATTCCGAATACGTCATTATGTAATTTGTCGACATGCCGAGATCAAACTTAGTCAAAGGGTGGAACTTAAGAATCGGATTCTGATTAGGCAGACTGTGTGTGGAATTTCACAATGTTCCCATTTGATGAAGAGAAAATTTGACATTTATGATAGGAAAGTTCTAGAGCACGTAATGAAAAGTGTTGGAATTAACTTGCAGTTAAGACAAAAATGAGATTAATAAAGAGAACAATAGATAACAAGATCCAAGATCCTGGGGTTTAGAAAGGGAATTATATTAAAGGATAAGAAATGAAAGATAAAGATATTGTAAATAATCTAACAATACTACAATGACAACGAAGAAGATTAGAGTAAATTACAAAAATATCCCTTGAGATTTATTAAAAATACATTTGACTCTCTTAGGTCAACTAATTGATTTGGTTGATGTAAGCAATTTTATCTTCTGAAATACTCAATTTACCCTCAATATACACTCTCTCTTTTTCTCTCTACCAAACCAAGACCAATGGCACCCTCACTACTATTGACCCACCACAATAATTTTGCCAATGAAAATGATAAAAAGAAAATCAAAGAACATAGTGAGAGAGTGGGAAAAACATAACCACCCAAAAAAAAAGTGGGAAAAACACATTCATATATAAATAATAAAGGTTAGCTATAATTACACACATATATAAACATATATATGTATTTATAGTAAGTAAAGAAGCAAAGACATACTGATAGAGATTTGTAATTGCTTATTGGAGTTTCAGCCAGTATCACTGGGTAAAGATTCTTTCATCCCAACAACTTTATGATCATTTTTAGTGCTTTCTGTAATTTTTGAGAAGAGAAAATGAGTGATATCTCACCCTCTTTTATATTAACTCATTCGCATAATTACATGAGCACTCTAAGGCATAAATAAAGATACTAAATATACAAAAGGATGAAATAGGAAATATTTCTACATTCTAAAACTCTCCCTCAAGCTGGTGTGAAGATATCTCTCATCCCAGCTTGTTGAGAATGTCACAAAATGATTTGTTCCCTAATCCTTTGGTGAGAACATTAGCCAGTTGGTCCTTAGACCTCACAAATAGAGTACAGATAGTGCCACTAGTGAGCTTTTCCTTGATAAAATGCCTATCAATCTCCACATGCTTGGTCTTGTCATGCTGGACCAGATTGTGAGCTATATTAATGGTTGCCTTGTGGTCACAATATAGCTTCATTGAATCTGTCTTATGAATCCCCAAATCCCTAAAAAATAAACGAATCCAGAAGAGCTCACACACACCCTGAACCATAGCTCTGAATTCAACCTCTGCACTGGACTGCGCAACTACATTTTGTTTCTTGCTTCTCCAAGTTACTACATTTCCTCCAACAAAGGTACAATAGCAAGAGGTTGACCATCTATCAGTGACTGAGCCAGCTCAATTAGCATTTGTATATGCCTCCACTCTCAGATGACCATGTTTGGAGAAATAGAGACCTTTTCCCGGAGAAGACTTCAAATACCGCAGAATCCGCATAACTGCCTCTAAGTGACTTGCACGTGGAGCATGCATAAACTGACTAACCATACTCACGGCGATAGCAATGTCAGGACACAAATGAGATAAGTAAATAAGCTTACTCACTAGCCTCTGGTACCTCCCCCTGTCTACAAGCTCGCCTCCTTGATCCTCACTAAGCTTCAGCCCAAGCTTTAGTGGTGTATCACACGTTTTACTGCCAAGCATTCCAGTTTCTCTTAGCAAATCAAGCACATACTTTCTTTGACATATGAAGATGCCATCTTTAGACCGAGCAACCTTAATACCTAGAAAGTATTTCAAGCTGCCTAAGTCTTTAATTTCAAACTTATTGGCCAAATATTCCTTTAACCGAGGAACCTCCTCAACATCATCTCTTGTGAGTACAATATCATCAATATAGACAATAAGAGTTGTCGTCTTACAATGGGAGGAGTGTTTCACAAACAAAGTATGGTCAACTTGACTCTGTTTGAAACCATATCGCAGCATGGCCTAAGTAAATCTCTCAAACCAAGCCCTATGAGACTGTTTTAAGTCCATAAAGTGACTTGCATAGTCAGCACACTTTTCCTTTGGTTTTAACATCCTCAAAGTGTGGAGGAATGTCCGTGTACACTTCTTCTTCCAAATCACCATGGAGGAAAGCATTCTTCACATCAAATTGATGGAGAGGCCAGTCGAGATTGGAGGCAAGGGAGAGAAGGACTTTGACAGAGTTCATCTTAACAACAGGTGCAAATGTCTCCTGGTAGTCTACTCCATAAGTTTACGGAAAGCTCTTGGCCACCAATATTGCCTTGTAACGTTCAATTGAACCATCGGCTTTGTGCTTCACAGTGTACACCCATTTACATCCAACAGGTCGTTTGCCCTTAGGTAACTCAGCCAATTCCCAAGTGCCATTTTTAGTAAGAGCTCTCATCTCCTCCATCATGGCATGCATCCACTCAGAAGTAGAAAGAGCATCTTGAAAATTAGAAGGAAGACTCACAGTAGAAACTTTAGACACGAAAGCCTTATAGGAAGAAGATAAATTAGTACATGAGACAAAATGAGAAATAGGATTTTGAGTACACGGCCTAACCCTTTTCTTATTAGCAATGGGAACATCTAGATCAGAAAGAATAGAGTTACTAGGAGTTTCATAAGCGGAAGAGGATTCTGGACACTCATCAGAAGGAGAAGACAGCAATGGAGAATCCGAATTGGTCTCTTGTACCCAAGTAACTTGTTTTCTATCCTTGTTGCTGACATAAACTTTGCCATCCTTCACTGTTGTTTCAGATTCAGACCCAACAGTCTCAATAGCTGAGTCACCCTTAACATCTTGCTCAATCAATGATGGGAGTGATACAAGTAGGGATACAGGAATCGAAGGAATCGCTTTACACCAAGGCTCCCCTTGAAGGGATGACTGGGGCACCAGTGAGGACATGAAATATGACTGAGACTCAAAGAAAGACACATCCATAGAGATAGACCACTTATAAGAGGGTGGATGATAACACTTGTAGCCCTTTTGTGTGGCAGAGTAACCCAGGAAGACACAGCGAAGAGACCTAGGATCCAACTTACCATGGGTAGGAGAATGGTTATGAACAAAGCACACACACCCAAAGGTTTTGGGAGGAATAGAGAAACTAGAAGAGTGGGACGCGAACAAAACCTGAAGAGGAGTGTGTTTGTGAAGAACTTGGGTAGGCAGACGATTGATGAGGAAGGCTGCCGTGAGAACAGCTTCCCCCCCAATATGAGCGAGGAACATGCATTTCAAAGGTCAGACAACGCGTAATATCAAGAAGATGGCAGTTTTTACGCTCTGCAATACCATTCTGTTGAGGGGTATTGGTACAAGAAGTTTGGTGAATAATACCATGAGTGGCAAAATAGCTGGCAAGGCTAGAGTCAATGTATTCCCCCCATTATCAGAACGCAGAATTTTGACAACTACCCCAAATTGAGTGCAAATCATTGTATGAAAATTTTGAAACACAAAAAAAACCTCACATTTATCCTTCATAAGATATATCCAGGTTAAAGATACAAAACGGGAGGAACCCCATACATCAGAATGAATCAATGAAAAAGAAACTAAACTTTTATTAATAGAAGGAGCAAAAGAAGCTCTGTGTTGTTTGTCAAGTTGACACGACTCACAATGAAACTCAAAAAAATTATTTTTCAAAAAAATTAAAGGAAAAAGATGCTTAAGAAACAAAAAAGATGAATGTCCAAGACGATAGTGCCATAGCCATAAGTCTTCCTTAGTAGATGGTAACTGAATGGATGAATGAGCAGGCTTGTCTGCTTGATCTAGGGTATAGAGACCATTCTCATTTCTACCACTGCCAATCATCTTCCTCGTGATAAGGTCCTGAAACAGACAATGATCAGGAAAAAAGGTCACACTACAATTTAAGTCCCGAGTAATACGACTTAAAGATAAAAGATTAACAATAAAATTGGGAACATGTAGTATAGAAGACAAAGGAAGGGAAGCAGTGGCATGAATTAAACCTTTTCCAAACACCGAAGAAATGGTACCATCAGCAATGCGAACTTTATCCTGGCTTGAAGAAGGGGTATATGCTGAGAACAAATCAGAAGACCTAGACATATGGTCTGAAGTACCAGAATCGATAATACAAGGCAATATTTGATGAGATAGGAAAGCACTTGGAGAAGATGCTAAATTACTTGAATGGGCAAAGTTACCTGAAGAAGAACTAAATGCCTGACGGTCTAGCAAGTGGCGAAGAGCAACCTCTAACTCAGAAGTAGAAAAATCAGAGATATTAGCAGAAGAAATATCTGGAGTTGGGG